GTATCCATCCATTTTGCAATTGAAGAATGCCGCTTTATCACCTTGGACGCGAAGCGCCACTGCTTGGTGCCCTTGGGGACCGGCTGTGTTTTCGAATCCCATCGACTTGGCGATGAATCCATCCGCAATAACAGCTATAGAAGGAACAAAYAATTATAAGAAAAGACTTATTAGAATCAAGTAAGAATAACAAAAGGAAAAGGAATGTTAGGCTGATWAGGTCCAACTTACAAAATGAGGCTGTCTGAAATGTTGAGATGCCTGCAGCGTTGCTCTTCTTTCCGGTGACAATTGTACTCGTTGGCCCATCTCCATACATGAAAATATTATTTTGACCTTTGGTAACTATAATGTATTCATCATAGGTCCCGGCTTTCACATAGATAACATATCTAGATACGCTATTCTTGGGGCATGCGGCAATTGCTTCAGCAATTGTCTTATATTGCCCACTACCATCCTTGGCTACCACTGCATTGGGTGTCAACTGTCCATTGCCTTGCAGAGCTAAAAGCTTACGGTCCTTTAGTGTGAACCAATTAGGGTAACCCTGTGCATCTAAAAGTCGGCGTCGAGAGTTGATGTTTGTGTCAAAGCGGATATTTAAGGCTTTGAGTATCGCAGACAACTCGGTGACAATGGTGAGGGCGTTGCCAGTAAGCTGAGTGGCATTGAGGAGCCCGTTCTCCATTGAGCTCTTCAGCTTTGGCTGTTCGAATCCCTCGGTGCATGTCTCTTCGTAAGACACGACAGCGCTCAACCAGTTCTTGAACTCCGCAACAGGATCACTTGCTGGGTACCTATCAGGGTCCTCCACCATGGAGATGGCGGATTGGAGCTCTGCGATAGCAAATTGCATCAAATCCTTGCAATCCCCGACTGCCATCTTATCGATGGAGCTATTGGCGTCTTTTCCTATGACACCAAACTTTTCCATTGCTGCTTGCACCTCCTGGACGATGGCCTCAAAGGCAGCCTTGAGGTAGTCATGAGGGGTAGAACTTTCATTTTTGGCTACAGGGGTAAGGGTTTTAATGCAAGAATCCTTGTAGTCGGCGGAGGCACAGATTGCGCTGACGCTTTTCATTGTCGCTGATGTACCACCGCTGGCAATGTCTTTTGCAGACAAGTCATCCTTGGGATGCCTACCTTTGTTTACACCAACAACCGTACCGATGACGACACCAACAACAAGGATGAGTGATATACCAAGGGCTACAAGCTTTCCCATTTCTCTAAACAAACAGATGTTGACGTTGAAGAGCTAGTGTGTGAGGAGGTTTATAACATGCACGTTCAATCCCAATTTAGCATAACTTCTAACTAAAGAACAACATGAATGTTGCATTAAGAATGGGGACTTTGACTTTCTTATTCACCACCCGTTCTCCTATAAGAACTAATCATATAATACGTACTTTTCTCTTTCCACTTTCTATTTTTTCATATATATATATATTTGTGCACATTTATCAGTGTGCTTTGTGTTTCAACTTTGAAGCATGATCAGATTCCATATATATATATATATATATATGCAGGGAGCTTATATTTCCAGGAACAACTTTTTTATGGCTCATTCTTTGGTACAAACGAGCATTAATCAAACCCCACTTTAAAAAAATATAATGATGCATATGACATACACTCCAAAGAAAGTGATGATTTAATGCCGTTTTTCTTACTATCATTTATATAAGCGCCACTATATATTATTTTTAATGGCGTTTATTAAAAATGCCACTATATCCATATCAAAAACGCCATTGTATACAATTTTAAGTGGCAATTATTAAAATGCCGCTAAAGATATATTTAAATTGCCACTAAATATATGAATTTTAAGTGGCATTTATTAAATCGCCGTTTAAATCACCTTTAAAAGCTATTAAATATCAGTTTTTTTTTAACCATTGATTTCACTTCTACATCAATGGTGTAGATTTAACTTCATTGGAGAAAATATATGCAACAAAAATTGGTGCGTGGATACCAATTTCTTCCCGCTCTCATTCTTCTTCTCTCTCGCAACGCATATTTCCTGCTATAATACCAAAACCGCATTCATCAGTTAAAGCGGACGTAAACGTAAAAGGGGTACGAAGGCTGTGAGGGGAAGAGGTAAGCTCTGATGTAGTGTGTTCGGACTGAGAGCTGGGCGTGCTTTTGGATCAATGTTCAACTGAGGGATTTAATTTCTGCGTTTTCGGCTGTGCATGTCGAAGGAGCTTAATTTTTTCGTAGTGCTTTTGGGTCATGTTCTTCTCTCTGGCAATGTTCGATTAATGTAGTGTATTCGGCTGTGCTTTTGGATCAATGTTCATCAGAAGCCACCACAGTAGAGAACCCTAATTTTTTAGCTCAAAACTAGTGTGTTCTTCTCTCCAGCAACGCTCGTCTCTTGCAGGATAGATTGAGTTCGGCTGTGCATGTCGTCATATCTTCAGCCATTGGTCTTCTGATGCTTGAAGCTGGTTAGTTCAATCTCGAACCTATGCCTATTCTCTATTTTTGTTTCATTTTAGGTTCTATTGGTTTATTTTGATTTTTGTGTGTTCTTTTGGTAAAACATTTGGGGAGGGTGTTGGAAACATGAATTTTAGGAGATAGATGGAAACCCCTATCTGAAGATGTTGCTCTCTTTCGTTCTAGTCCAATTCTAGAAAAATACCACCAACCGAAAGGCCTAGCAAAGGAGGACTTCTCTTCCCATCGTCTTTGGGTCGTACCTTGTCGTAGATACCCCCTGTCATCATTAATCTTCAGTTCAAAGGCCAAACTGAAATGCCATTGCCATTGTCTGAAAGAAATCATCCGAGTTGATATCAGTTCAACATTCTAAGGCTCTAAGAGGTAAACCCTTAACCACATCCTTTCTATTTTGATTGAAGTTATGTTTATTACTTGAATAGGTAGTTTGCTAGTTGTGTTCTTTTTGGTTTTAAATTTTAGTACAAAATTTTTTAAATAAAGAATCTTTAATGAATACCATGGGGGATCCCTGACAATTTTCAAAAGGATGCAGCACCAATGGAAATCTTTTCCCTAAGGAAGAATCTTTAATGCCTACTTTGAAAAGTCGAAATTAAGTAATGACAAGTTTGCAACTCAAGTTTTGAAATCAATAGAACAAAAATAACTTTAACTAAGTCCCCAATCGTATGCTTACTGGCTTCTAGATTTAAGCTCTCTCAATATAAAATCCATGTGTGATCTACACACCAGATGTTCTCGACAAAGTTCCACTACTAAAAAAGGAGGGCAATTCAAACTTCAAATAGCAGAACGATCACTATTTCCAGCATTTGCCACCATAAGTGGAGGAGCATTAACTCCATCCACATAGCCCCCACCACCGAATACTCCTACTGCTGTTTGCATTGTCTTGCAATTCAAATAATAGTAACTAATAGTAGGTTAGCTTAGTAACTACAAATACTTAAAATAGTACTTTAGTTGCCAAAAACACATAACAACAACAACACTACAATAGATGAATTGAAGGAAGGGGAAATCCATCATATGGATGACCGAACCATGTTGGATGCTAGGGCGAAATTTAAAAAATTTCTTTTTACCCTTCCAGGAATTGCATTCCTAGTTTTAGAAAAATTGCATGTTTCAATGATCGTTCTTGCACCGATCCGGACCAGATTTGAAACCAAAAGAAAGGAAGAAGAATACCTGATACAGATTCCACACGTGTAGTTCTCAAAGTGGGAGTTCATGCCCAAAGAGAGTACCAAATCCAGCTTCTAATGAAAATGGCACAACTTAAGGTGAAGCCGGTTTAGCAACGCAGTCCTTTAGCGAGAATTGCAATCCAACAGTTTGGATCAAGCAAGGGAGATGAGCACGAAATTAATCTGATTTTTCTTCTAAAATCAGAAGTGAGAATTGATCTCTATCAGTCCAACATCTAGAGAACGAACTGGGTTTGTATGGCGGCAAGAGCACAAGGAGAGAGAGAACTAAGAGCAATGTTATCTGGAGCAGTTCACCCTCCTCTATTTATAAGGCTTAAAGATCATCTCTTCTAATCCAATCTAGAGCTTCCTAATCCAAATCTTCATTTGGATCTGGACTCTTTAAGTGGATAAGATTTATCCTTTTATCCCATTGTTGATCTAAGCCCATATCCAGACCCATATTCGCCCAAGTCACATGACTGCTTTAAGCTTCATGTGACACCCTGATTAATTTAAATAATCATGGGCCTTAGGCCCATTTAACAAGTGGCTCACATCCCCTTTTAGTTGCTGGCCAATTTGGCTCTTTTTGTATGGCGTGTGACCCCAACAATGACCTCACATAAGCACATATGGGTTCGGCTTGTCTTCTAGGACAAAGCCCGGCTGAATTCACTACTAAGCACAGTGATCCCCTAAGTCCATTAGAATGGGCTCTTAATGGGCCCAACATTTACACTAAATGGTCCTTGAGTCTAGCCATCCTATGAAGACCCAAGGACAATGGTCTTAAGTGTGATATAGCCATCAGGTATAACAGCCCAAAATGGTCTTGCACTTAACCTCTCAGCCCTCAATGATCAAACACTGCCTGACAGGGAATGACCTCTCCCTTGGTTGCAAAGTGTAGTGTTGCACTCTCTGCTCGGCTGGATTCCGAGAAAACCTTTTTGCAAACATTTTCTTAAAACATAATATATATATATATATATATATATATAAGTATAGTTTGCTAAACAAATATCAAACAAGTTTGAAATCGACTACCAATAGTTTTGGTTTCCATTAGAGAGAGTGCAGTCCCGATCATTCGCTTTGTCCGACAAAGGGGCTGATCCTATCACTATGATCACCCACTCGAGTGAATTCTCAAATTGTCCCAACATACCCAAGTTTAGACCCCCAAAGGATCTCACTAATTGGCATATCAAAGACAACCCAATCCGACACCTAGTGAAGTACCATAATCAAGTCTAGGGGTTATGTGTAACTTTACAGTTTTGCCTACCAGTCTCCAAGGTCCAAGGCATAACTGGAAAATGTTCCGGCTTCAGTTTTTCAAACAAATACACACTACATATGCTTCGGGTCTAACCCTAGCAGCTGAGACAAGCTACCCCAACCTACTTGGCAGCACATTAGTGTCAACCTTGGGAGGATAAACTTCCCTAAGTCTATCCAATGGCTGAGAACATTCTAAACTAACACGGGTCTCATAAGTTTCCAATTTAAGGGTATTTATACAAAAACACATCGAATATAATATGAATCAATTATGTACTTTTATTCATTTACAATAAATGTATATGTACATCAATTTGATTGGAGCTAAGGGCATACACTGTCTAACAGCTCCCACTTGCACTTAGGTCTAATCGGGTGCAAGCCGGAGTCCCATAGTGTCCACATGTTTCTCAAACACTTTCTGTGTTAGTGGCTTAGTCAATGGTTCTACCACATTCTCCGCTGATGCTACCTTCTAAATCTGGACGTCCCTTCTACCAACAATCTTCCACAGAACATGGTACTTTCTCTCGATGTTCTTCGACTTTGAGTGGGCTCTTGGCTCCTTAGCCTAAGCAATGGCTCCGATGTTGTCACACAACAATGGAATGGGTGATGTGTTGGATGGAACAACTCCTAATTCATGAATGAACTTCTTCATCCATACTACTCCCTTGGCAGCTTCACTTGTGGCAATGTACTCGGCCTCGGTTATGGAATCTGTTGTAGACCCTTGTTTGCTACATTTCTAGCTAACTACACAGGACCCCATCGTGAAGTTGTATCCAGATGTATCATCTGGGTCTGATTGTAAATGGACATCAATATACCCAAGGATCTGTAGGGAACTACCATCGAATACCAGACAAAACTCTTTTGTCCTTTGAAGGTATTTGAGTATGTTCTTTACAACAGTCTAATGCTCTTGTCCTAGGTTTGACTGGTATCTACTTACTACACTCACAGCCTGGGCAATGTTTGCCCGAGTGCACAACATGGCATACATGATGCTCCGTATGGAAGAGCCATAGGGAACCTCTCTCATGCCCTCAATCTGTTAGATAGTTATGCCATTAGCTCCAATCTAATTGATGTACCTTTTAACATTTATTGTAAATAAATAAAGTACATAATTGATTCATGTCATTGTGGTGTGTTTCAGTGTAATACCCTTAAACTGGACACTTATGAGACACGTGTTAGTTTAGAATCTTTACAGTCGTTGGATAGATCTAGGGAGATTTATCCTGCCAAGGCT